TGCATGTTGTGTCTAAAAATAACATGTGGGCGTCCCACGGTCTAGACAGGTTTTGTGTCAGGCCCTATTTCAAATTAGGGCCTGAACTTCAGGTTAGGCCAATGGAACTGTAGATTCTGTTTACCGTCCGAGAATTTAAAAAATCTGATGCGGGTTTTTTTCATTATTCATTTTTCATTATTTTTGTTTTTATCTATTTTCCGACAAAAATGATCCTTAAATCGTTTTCTTTTGATCACGACCATCAACACTTTTGTCCAGCATTCTTTTATCATTTTTGGGCTTTCCTTTGCGGAAAATTTTTTTGTCACGCCATTGTTTTCGAATTTGCACGTGTCAGACTCGAGAATTTCCGAGTGTACCGAACAAATGCCAACTGATCCATCATACATCGGCGATGTACGGCTTTTTATATCGAAGATTTGATGATTTGATGTATATTTGAAAGGTTCGATGCATAGAATTAAAAATAATGACAAATAATGAACATAATTAAGAATAATGAAAAATTCTTGCGGTAGTTGCAAGCACATGCGGGCGGTGGACGGTAAACAGAATCTACAGTTCCATTGGCCTTAGAGTTGGAGTAAATAACAACCATTTTAAATACTGGCCCTCTAATTATTTAGGTTACACAATGTCTTACACCAGTACTTGTCCCATTACTTATTTTACACCAAAAATGTAACAGATTAAATGTTTGGGGGAGGGGGGGTCCTAAATTTTCTTGATGAAGTTTGGGATATCTTGAAAATCAAGGTCTTGCAATTGGGGTGGCTCTAAAAAATTTTCAATATTTGGTATTAATCACCCACCCCCCGCCCATTATTAATGACCGGTCCCCTAAATTAAGTTTAATTTGAGCCTTGTTGTGCAATAATTATCCAGGTGTATGTCTTCCATTCCATGGCTTGAGTTCTTGTGTATAAAATGAACAACAGAAAGCTTTGGTACAATATCTGACAATTTATAATTTTTGGATATGTTTGTCCGGAAAAAATTTAAGCGTTGCTGATGTTAGTCCGGGAAAATTTTTTTTATTATTGCCATCCCTCCCTCCCTGTCAACCCCTCCCTCCCTGTCAACCCCTCCCTTCCCTTCCCTCCTCCCCTGTGACCCAAATGCCTTTGCAGCCCGCATCCAGGCTTTGCCTGCGCCAGGCTAACACGTGTATGAGATTTTAGCAATGGCGGGGAAATTGAAAGAGCTTTAATAAAAGCCAACATTAAATCGAGTTTTAGATCAAAATATTCGTTCTAAAACCTTTATTTTTTCGATTTTATCCAAGTATAACCACTTATCTTTAAAGAATGGACAATATTGTGTTTGTAGCGGTTTCAAAAGAGCTGCAAATTCCTTCAAAAGATCTCATTTTGGAAAGCTTACTGAATTCAACACGTGGTTGAAATGTGATGGTTTTTTGGCCTCGATACCAGCGCCGTAACCTGTTAGAAGTTGCTGAAAATACTCTGGCGTGTCTGCTTCTAAGGTATTTGGGCTTGTTCTTGTAATCTTGTGCTGTTATAGTTTAAATTTTGATGTATGAAAGATTTATCTCAATTTGCTGGGTTTTATTAGACCAAATATGAAATTGTTATCATGTTTCTCGTCCACAATTTTCTAAAATTTGGAGCGGAATATTTTCATTTTTCATTATTTTTTGTATTTGAATTCTGCTTGTCAATAATTTCCTTGACCCAGTAAAAACCCCCATAAAAATCTGAAGTAAATCGGTGTATAATTCATTTTAATTGAATACGTCCTACACTACAGTATATTTCTACACATACCAGGGCTGACATGAAGAATAGAGGCATTCTGGCGAGTAATATCTTTAGAAAGATACAATTTGAGTTGTGCTTGTGGAATGCAGCAATAAGACTTTGATCTGGAGATCAATTTGGTGTTTTGTTAAGCCTATTTTTCAAAAACAATGGAAAAATTTCGGGCAGGGAAGAGAAACATGATATCAATTTTCATTGGCTTCATTAAGCAGGGTTTTATAATATTCAACCAGTGTAGGTAGTGGCAATGATAACAAGCTTTCGTTGGCAAGGATTTTGCTATCTAAAAAACAAAGCGAAATTTAACGTGAGCGAAGGCCTTTTTTGACAATGCCCAGATTACAGTACTGCCAGGAAATAACTTAACCCCGCATCCTGCCTCCAGAGTGCCAGCGTCCGGCCTCCACAGCGCTTGCGTCTGCTCTGCCCGTGTCCTAGCCTGCGTAGCAGTCGCTTTATTTTATTGTAGGTTTTGAGGATTTTTGAATAAATGGCGAGTTCGAAAAATTGACGAAGAAAAAAAAGGGCGAGAAAAAAACGGGCAAAGAATAAAGGGCGAAGGAAAAATAAAGCGCCTGCAACTATCCTTAATAAAAATTAATTCTGCCCACTTACTTGAAATTTCCGGCCACACTAAAACAACCAACCAATCGGACACGAGACGCAAGTATGAAGTGAAGTGGCGGCGTAATTATGTAATGAAAACAAACAGATCTAGACATCGCGCACAATGTGTTAGAGTTTCAATGAAGATCTACGCGCCGGCTCGATGAATTTTAGCTCAAGGATGAGCGCTAAGCAATTTGATTACTGTAATAAATGTTTGAAGCTTTCTCAAATAACCTCAAAAATGGCTAAGCTCGGCTAAAGCGATGCAATGTTTGCTGTAACTTCGACTTTAAGCAACACCTCTTGGGTCGGATAAGCTTTCACGTCGCTTGACAGACGTGATAATGCTTAGTTTAACGTTGTGTTGAGAATGGCAAAGTTGTTGAGAATATCTCTGGGAACCCTTTGTTCATCTTTCAAGATTAGCCTTTTACCAGTTTTTTTAAAGAATTCGATACAGCGCTTCGTTCAATAAACATTCTTTTGTCGTCGCCATTTGGCATTTGTATTATTCAAAATGCACAGACCGGAAGCGAGAACACCTTGAGCCAGATTTTGACCAATCGGTATTTTCCGTTCAGAATCTGAACGGGGAATTAATTTTTATTAAGGACAGTTGCAGGCGTTTTATTTTTCCTTCGCCCATTTTTTCTCGCTCTTTTTCTCTTCACAGGGCTTTCAAAATAACCCGGCGGCCGCCGGAGCCCCGGCGGGTGGCACGAGGTTCACCGCCGGTTACTTTGTTTAGTGCTTGAAACATCAATTCTGCTCTCCTTCCTCCATTCTAAGCTTTCAAACAAAGTTCTTTTTCCTCAACTTGGTCTACTTTATAGCATGGTTATTTTCGAAAACGATGTACTATTTCGCAAAACTGATTTAGTTATTTGCCATCTTATTCTCGATTTCATGTCACTTTTTGACGCGCGGTTCCCAAGTTCGTTGCAAACTTGCCAATTGACGTTTCCAAGTTCAAAAATTGGGTGTGAAAGATCGCAACAAAGATCGCAAGCACGTTTCAATGTTGGAACTATTGTAAACAAATGTTCGTAGTTCAAGTTGAAATTAACAATTCAATGGAAAGTTCTTGGTCCAGTGGTCAACCAAGAAGGTTTCTATTTCATTGAATTGGTTATTGTTATTGACTACGAACATTTGTTTACAAACGAATTAAGTTCAACCATTGAAATGAAGTTGCGAACTTTGTTGCGAATTTGGTTGCGAATTTGGCGCCCAATTTCCGAACTTTGCATGGAAACGTATTTGGAACTTGGAACCGCGTGTTGAAAAATGACATGAAATCGATAATAAATCTTCTCGAAGAATGAAAGTAGTGATACATCATAATTTGTGTTGTGTTTCTATCTAATCAATGTACGTACCTAATTAATTTGGATGACTTTAAGACTAACTAGACCGTCCCCTCCCTACAGCCGTCTACTTTATCAAAACAGACACCTACTCTGAATAATTCTGAAAGCCCTGCTTCACCCACTTTTTCTAACCCGCCATTTATTCAAAAATCCTCAAAACCTACAATAAAATAAAGCGACTGCTACGCAGGCTACCCATGTCCGGCCTCCAGCTAAAAACTGTGTCCGCTTGGACGAAGTCGTTGTAATATAGTCCAGGGGTTTTTTCAGGGATTTTTTAGGGCCGACGGCCCCAAAAACTCAATCTTGAATTGAGTTTTGAAACTCAATCTTCTCACCAAAGTTTCTGAGTGCAGTAAAAATGAAGTTGACTTAAATTTCGTACGTGTGGAAATTAGTTTTCAGTTGGAAGCCCAACAATTAAGAAAAAATGGCTGGAATTCATCTCACAACACAAGAAAAACTATGCATTCGCCATCTTTAACCAGTTTATAGTGTCCCTTAGTGCCCCTGCTTTAACCCATTACGTCTCAACTACATTTATTGAGTACAGGTGTCAGCCCCCCGGTAGGGGGGGGGGGGGTGCAGCCACCCCAGCTGTTCAGCTAAACTCAATCTTCTCTGCAAAAACGGACCCAAGAGAAAACCCTGAAAAAAACCCTGGGTGGAAGGGTCAGTTAGGGGGCTAATCCCAACCCACCATGTCAACTTTCCCTGTGGGAGGAAACCAGAGCATCCGGAGAAAACCCACGACTTTGGGCAGAGCGTTGACTGACTCTTTTCACATGAGTCCGTAGCGAGAATCCAACACACAGAGGGAAATGCAGTAGACAGATCGATTAGATGAAGGAAATCAGGTTTACATGAAATAAATGAAGTTTATTTCGTTTTTTGCTCTTTTAAAATGAAGAAAAACCGAACCCGAGAGTCGCGGACCCATCACTTCCCGCCATGAAAATACAAAAAAGGTTTGGCCGCGCGGGTAAGGAGACTGAGAATGACGCGCAAGAATGCCTTCAAAATCCGCCATGTTTGGCTTCACTTTTTGATTACGTCACTGACTGAAGTCAGCCTTCCATGTATATAGTTCACTGTTCCCACTATCAGTTCCCTTGGGCCTGCACGCGGGCTATTTCACATGAGTCCGTAGCGAGAATCGAACCCACGTTCTCAGAGGTGAAAGGCACTTGCTCTGATGATTAGGGTATCGAAGTCCTGTTAAAGAATAAAGAGCTGTAGTTTAGAGCTATATAAATATTTAACAGTTATTCTACGAACTCGAGTCGAATATGAGCTGATAGCTCATATTCGACGAGAGTGAGTGGAATAACTGTTTTATTATATACACAAGGTCTGAATTCACAGACTTTGCTTTTCGAATATTTTCAATATTTTTCTATTTTGTTTTAAATGTTTTTATCTTCGCTCTTTCGGGCGATTATTTTTTCAAAAATATATATTTTTAACCATTTTAAATTTTAAAAATTTATTTGCTAACCTGAAAACAATTTGTGGGAGTTTTTTCATTGTGTTTTTAATCCTGTAAAGGCTATAAAAAGCGACAACTTGCCGTTTTCTCGTTTGCAAAACATCGTAAATACAGTTTGGCCGCCATTTTGTTTTTCTCTACTAGCAGGATATGAGCTAATATCCTGCTAGTAGAGAACCAATCAGATTGCAGAATACCTCATATCCAGACCTTGTGTATATAATAAAAGAGCTATAGCCCAGATCAAACGGGGTTGATGTGCAAGAGAGTTGGCAGTCACGCGATCTTGGTTAGCTGTTCTTAATGCTTTTCCAACACTATCATGAATTCTATTTAATATGTTTGTGTGATGTTACTCTGAGTGTATATCCACACCGGGCAGGCTTGAAAAATATGCCTGGCCACGGTGGGATTCGAAACTACTATTCCAAAGGTCGTAGGTTCGAATCCCACCGTGGCCAGGCATATTTTTCAAGCCTGCCCGGTGTGGATGTACACTCAGAGTAACATCACACAAACATCTTATTCACCTCAGTACATTACACCAACACAGCAAATTTCAATTCTATTTAAGTCAGAACATAGTTGGAATACTCAACCAAACCTTAATCTTGTTAATCTTGAGCTTGAAATGTCCGCCGTAACAATACGTGACTGACAACTCACATCAATTCTTGTTTGACCGGGGCTTTATATGGGCTAGTCGTTATTGGATCTTCAAGGCAAAGGCGGATTTTCATTTTTTTAAAAGGAGGGGTGGAAAAATTTCTAGTGGGGTGCAAGCAGCACCACTGAGTGAGCTTCGGCACGGGTTAGGCGTTAGGGTTAAAGAGTTTCACACAAAATAGGAGGGGTGGGGCGAAATTTTGGTGGAGTTGAACACTTTATAAAAGGGATTAGAGAGATTCTAGGGGGGTTAACCCCCCTCCCCTAAGCCCCCAGTAAATCCGCCCATGCTGCAAGGAGAACAGCTTAGACAAACTGAAATGCTACATGATCGGAAAAGGTGCAGTAACCTTCAATTTTTAAAACAAAGCAAGGATGTCGTGCATAACGAAGGGATTATAAATAATATATCGTATTTCACTCCTAACTTGATTAATTGTTGGCAGACAGTTTTTCAAGTTCGCGCATATTTCGGATGCGCAGTAGAACCGTGACACTGCCCCTGTAAGGTTTACTGTTCTTTGCAGAAAAGAAAGGAAATCGTGACGACGTGAGGAGGAAATCTCTTAAAGAGAACATCCAGAATGTGATTAGCAACACAGTGACGTCACCGAAACGTGATAAAAAGAAAGGACGCAGCACCACACTGTTTACTAAAAAACGACGAACGAAAAAGAACAATGAACGACTTATTGATTCCAACGACGTCGCGACATTTATTGCAAGTGTCGAGAAAGTCAAAACTCCAAAAGGTGCGATAGATTTGTCGTTTGACTTTAAATACTGTACATATTGACTCGATTTGTTATACTAGATGGTCCGTGTGGCAGAAATTGGGCAAAAAAAGATAGATGATCCGATATTTCGTCTGGTTTTAGACGCGGTAAACAGATGGCTTGTCCGTTAAGAAGTGGGCTTGTACCAATGCTTCTCCAACAACTTGTCAGATTAGGACGTGTTCGCACTGCTTGTTCTCAAATATTTGCTTGTTCCCAGATTAGGACGTGTTCGCACTGCTTGTTCTCAAATATTTGCTTGTTCCCAGATTAGGACGTGTTCACACTGCTTGTTCTCAGATATTTGCTTGTTCCCAGATTAGGACGTGTTCGCACTGCTTGTTCTCAAATATTTGCTTGTTCCTAGATTAGGACGTGTTCGCACTGCTTGTTTCCAGATATTTGCTTGTTCCTAGATTAGGACGTGTTCGCACTGCTTGTTCCCAGATACTGCTTCCATCAAATTTTATTCATTCGTGTGAGATGCCACAGAAGCCTTGATATTGTTGCCAGATAGTTGAGAATTTGTTAACGGCTTGGTGACAACTTGCTACAAGGGTGTTGACCCAAACAACTTGTAACGAAGTCGTTTTAAAACCTTGTCCTGCAATCCAAAAAGTTGCGAGTGACAGCCTTGTAGCAACTTGATAAGATCACAGCATTGTTACAACTTGTTGACAAGCTTGCTACAAGCCTGTTGCGAACACATCTTGTTGACAAGTTGTGCGATTTCTATGTGTGCATATGTGTGGAAAATATCAGACATGATTTTCCCCCTGATCCATTGCCAGGTGATTAATACTGGCAATGCATCAGGGGATAAATCATGCCTGATCATGCATTCTAGCTAGTTCCTCTGAAATTAATATATTTACTTTTCCCTAGTCATTTGCGACGAAATCATGCACAAGTACGCAGCTATTAAGAAGGACCGACCACATAAATCTCAATCAAACGTTACCATGGAGACTGCGCAATCGGCACGTGACGAGGAAGGGATTATGAAGGATGCAAAGAATAAACTCCGATTGGTATTAAGTAACGGCTCAGCACCAGTCTTTCCGGTCTGTAGCCCTGCCAGAAAAAGGTATGAGACCAAGTACCACGTGGCATAGTGTTTACACTAGAGCAATAAGCTGTCGTGGTTTGTGTCTGAATTATCTGAAAAAGATATCTCAAACATGGTGGTCCAGTGTAGGTAGTATTCTACAATAAACTGTCGTGGTTTGTGTCTGAACTACCTGAAAAAGATATTTCAAACGTGGTGGTCCGGTGTAGGTAGTATTCTACAATAAGCTGTCGTGGTTTGTGTCTGAACTACCTGAAAAAGATATCTTCTTTGTTCATTGTTTGTAGTGAGAAAGCGGGTCGGGCATTACTCACGTATCTCAAGCAAGATTTAGCAGACGCAATAACTTATGAAAATTGCACGATGGTCGCAAGACTTTATGAAACATTGAGTACATTGGAAAAACTCTCACCCACCAGGTAAAGATTTGTCAATGCTGTCTGACACAGTGGCTAGCACATATGTCTCTGTGACTAGGCTTCAATTCCTGCAATGTACAGTTGTTTGATTATAATTCAACCTCAGTCACTTGTGAGAAGAGTGCTTCCAGTTTGACTCTACCAAACACCACAGGTTTTCTCCTGGTTCAGTCCAGTTTTCTTCTGCACTGCGGTAACCGACTGTATGATAACGCATGTCCCTTACTAGACCTCTGAGAAGAAAAGCTGAGGACTGATAGAGCTATCCAGTATAAAAAAAGTTAGTTTAGGTTTCGGATGAGTAAGAGATCATCTTTACTGACCTCTAGGAAGAACAGTTTAGAACTGATAGAGCTATCCAGTATAAATAAAGTTAGTTTAGTTTAGGTTTCTTCCTGTCGTAACACTGGATCAATAAGAGATATCTTTACTGGATCTCTAGGAAGAACAGTTTAGAACTGATAGAGCCATCCAGTATAAATAAAGTTAGTTTAAAGCTAAGTTTAGCTTGTTTTCTTTAGTTTTTCAATGATAAGGGAAATCAAGCTAGCTTATTTTGAAAGATTACATTTATATGTTTGTTATTTTAATCTTTCCTTTTGTAACTAATGCTTATTTTCAGATATCCTCAAGTGTTAAATGAACTGCAGCAAGATTACGTGAGCAGGAAAGCCTACCTTTCCTACCTCGTGCGAGCTCATCAAGGATTGGTTGCCACTCGACAGTATCTGGAGAAGGCGCTGGAGCGAGTTGACAGGTTAGTTAGAAATCTTTGTTGGTTGCTTTCTCTTGTAATTCTGGATCAATAAGAGATGATCCTTTCTGGACCTCTAGGAAGAACAGTTTACAACTAATAGAGCTATCCAGTATAAATAAAGTTAGTTTAGTTTAGGTTTCCCCCTGTAGTTACACTGGATCAACAAGGGATGACTTTCTGCATGAAGAACAGTTAGAACTGATAGAGCTACTTTATCCAGTAGAGATAATTATAATGAATCATTTATTTTTCAGGGAAAGAGAGATATGTCGACGATATTTGATGACTCAATGTGTCAGTATGTTTATAGTGAACCAGAAGGAAAAATTGGATGCGTTTGTCGCTAAATTTGATAAACTGCCAATGGCTGATGAGAAGGTATGATATTGTTTCGTCTTAAAAGGCAATTTTTGTATGTTGCCTATTTGCCTAAAATGTTTTTGACATCCTCGTTTTATCAGGGTACTCATATTTAATCTTTTCTCGTTCTTAGAGTGAGGAAATGAAGAGTTTTATACAAGGAATTAAGGAAGCATTTCAACAAAGTCCTTTGTGGTTAGGTAAGTAAAGAAACGTTGCTCAACTAAATTAACTCTTTTATACTGTGTAGCTTTATCAGTTCTAAACTGTTCTTCCTAGAGGTCCAGTGAGGATCATCTCTTATTGATCCAGTGTTACTACAGGAGGAAACCTAAACTAAACTAACTTTATTTATACCGGATAGCTCTATCAGTTCTAAACTGTTCTCCCTAGAGGTCCAGTAAGGATCATCTCTTATTGATCCAGTGTTACTACAGGAGGAAACCTAAACTAAACTTATACTGGATAGCTCTATCAGTTCTAAGGGTTAACTGTTCTTATACTTTTGGTCTGTTAACGTATCAGCGAGTCACCCCCTGAAAAATCATGTTCTAGGTTCGAATGATCGACAAAAGGAAGAGGCGTTTGATGCTGTCGAGAGACAGGCGATAAGTCGTGTATACTGGACAGCGGTCTATGCCTTTGGTGAAACTGATAAATTTCGAGACGAGTAAGTTTCTTTGTTTTTAAAAATACCACAATGTTGTCCATGCCATCCAGTCTCTTATGGTATTGAATTACAACAAGCAATCTACTATTTTTCTTATTTTAGCGTTTTTCACGAGAGTGTAAAATCCCTGTGTAGCTCGATCGGTGAAGATTTTGGTCTTTTGGAAATAAAAGAGGTATTACTATTAATCTTTATAATTACGGATATTGTGAACACGCCATAAGTTGCATAAAATTAAAAAATTACGTAATTTTTCAGGACTTTCAAAACGAGGCGCCATGGTTTCCAGCGCAATATGAGCTGTACGCCTTGTCCGCTTATAAGGTACGAGTGTTTCATTGTAAATTTTTTTCAAGACCTAGGACTGGATTAAATATATATATTTATATACAGGGTGTATCAAAAAAAGTAAGACAATTTTGAAATTGCTCTCAATTCCACAATTCTGTTCATGAAATGTAATTTTTGCTATATATGGATTGCTTGAATTCTTAAATTATGGAAAATATAAAAAATTTTGAAAATAGTAAATTTTGCTATCCAGGGGGGTGGTCAACTTTTGCTCCCCTAAAAGTGGCTTGCGCACGGAAATGACAAACGGTATTCTTTATTTGAGTTCATGTATGAAAAGTTCGCTATTTGTTGCATTTATGATAAAATTTGGGCAGTATTTTACCGAGTACAAATCCTCCGAAAAGCCTATGAAAACGTTACATTTTTTCTCTGTTGGTGCTGTTCTTGCTTCATTGTGAATTCATTTTTACTCCCATGAGAGTTCCAGGGAATTTCCATGGAATTTGTGCTTTCGAGTTGTTTGTGCTGAAACGCATTTTCTCGTATAATACCCCGTACGCTTTGAAATGGCGATGCCACAATTTACCCCGCAGCAGAGAGCTTTTATGGTATCAGAGTTCCTCCGTAGCAACAACATAAACTTGGTTCGCCAAAGTTTCACGAAAGAATATCCAGATGTACGATGCCCTTCACGTGCGAATACGTGAAGGGCATCGTACATCTGGATATTCGTTGGAATACAAATGGGAGTACAAATGGGAGTACAAAAAAATTCATAATGAAGCAAGAACAGGACCAACAGAGAAAAATGTAACGTTTTCATAGGCTTTTCGGAGGATTTGTACTCGGTAACATCCTGCCGAAATTTTATCATAAATGCAACAAATAGCGAACTATTCATACATGAACTCAAATAAAGAATACCGTTTGTCATTTCCGTGCGCAAGCCACTTTTAGGAGAGCAAAAGTTGACCACCCCCCTGGATAGCAAAATTTACTATTTTCAAATTTTTTTATATTTTCCATAATTTAAGAACTCAAGCAATCCATACATATAAAAAATTACATTTCATGAACAGAATTGTGGAATTGAGAGCAATTTCAAAATTGTCTTACTTTTTATGATACACCCTGTATACAGAAGCATTATTTTTTTTTTTTTATTATTATTATTAAAATTTATGGTTTCTCCCAAAAGGGTTTTTCAGAACCCATTTACAAAATTATTTTATAAAAACTACAATTTTAAAATATTTACAGTTTCTACAAAGTTAGGAATAAAAATGACTGATATCTAAGTTTTTAATAGTCTAAAATAGGAAGTAGTCTATAGTCAAGTAGACAGTAAGTGTTCTTTAAGTTGACTTTTAAATGTCTTAAGTGATGTACATTTCTTTAGCTCAGTGTCTAAGTTATTCCAAATTGAAGCTCCTCTAAAAGCAAATGACCGTTGCCCTGACGCTGTTTTAAACAATGGTATCTGTATTGAGTTGCAGTTCCGCGTAGACCGATTATGAATACAAGATCGTTTCTCAAACATGTCACAAAGATATTTCGGCGCTAAGTTGTTCATGCATTTAAAAGTCATTACGGCATCACGGAAATAGAGTAATTTGTCAACTGTGAGCCACTCAAGGTTTTGGAGTAATGGGCTTACATAATCGTATTTCTTGGATCCTGTGATTATTTTACATGCAAAGTTTTGAATAGATTGAAGTTTCTTTATATTAGTGCATGTTGTATTTGACCATACAGTGGAACAGTAGAGCAGTTTACTGATCACTAATGAAGTGATTATCATTGTAAGTGTTCCCTTGTCAAAATTATTTTTAACTCTGTTTATCTGGCACAGTTTATAAAGGCAGGACGACACTAGATTCGATATGTGCTTATCGTAACTTAGGTGACTGTCCATTAGAAGTCCTAGATCTTTGGCAAAATCAACAGGTTCTAGAATCTTCCCCATAAAAGAGATCGAAATATTGACATCAAGTTCGTTCATCAGCTGCCTGGTTCCAATGATCATGAATTTTGTTTTATCTGGATTCACCAAAAGATTGTTTTCACAGCACCAAGACGCAATTTTATGTAGGTCTTCTTCCAGATTTTTAATTCCAGTGTCAGCTTCCGTTAAAGGAAACGATAACAAAGTTTTCGTATCATCAACGTATGATTCAAGATCACCATTGTAAGATGCACAGGGTAGGTCGTTAAGGTATATACAAAAGAGCAATGGCGATAAAATGGCCCCTTGAGGTACACCATAAGTTATCGGTAATGGATCTGATAACGTAGAGTTAATACGGGTTGATTGGAAACGGTCTGTTAAGTAGCTTCTTAACCAGTTTACTGTTGATTTGGATGCTCCGACATTTGATAGTTTATGAAGTAGTCTCTGATGGTTTATACTGTCAAATGCTTTTGAGAGATCAAGCAACACTAGAGCTGAGAGTTTCTTTTTATCCATGGCCTTTAAGATGGTGTCAGTGATAAAAACGTTTAATGTCTCTGTCGAGTGAAGTTTTTTATTTCCACTTTGGTGGGAGGATAGTCGGTTGTTGCTTGTTAGGTAACAGCTAAATTGCTCAAGAGCTAATCTTTCACAGACTTTAGCTGCGACTACAAGAAGGGAAACTGGTCGATTATTTGAGGGTACTTCGTGGTCACCTTCTTTATGAATAGGAATAAGTTCTGCCTTTTTCCATGCCAGAGGAAAAGTAGAAGTACGAAGGGAACAATTTATAATTTCCGTTAAAGGACCCAAAATGACCGGAAGACAGTCCTTTATGATCCGTGGGTTAATCTTATCCGGACCAGATGATTTATTGAGAGGTAACGATAAAACTACTCGACGTACTTCGTGGCAAGTTACGGCTCTAAACTTAAATTGGTCGATTTCAGTTATAACGACTGATTCGATTGATTCTCGTAGATTGATGTTGTTAGTATCTGCTAGATGAGAAGACGCCCTTGCTGCATTTTCACCAACCGATGAAAAAAACTGATTGAAATCATTTGCAAGAGATTTATGGCCTCCTTTATAGATTTGTCTTTCTTTTCCTTTTGATGGTATAAGACGGTTTACTATTTTCCATAGAGACCCCGGATTATCTTTATGTTGCCGTACTTCATTAGAGTTATACTCATTCTCCGCCTTCTTAAGATCTCT